TTTTTTGGCGGAACCGGGGATTGAACTCAGACCCTTGCACTTGCTAGGGAAGTGCTTATTCTACTGAGACATCTCCCGGGCCCCCATAGCTAAATCTTGAAAGCAACCCAAATGCCCATCTATTGAGGAATGGATAAAGAAGATGTGACATTTTTACACAATGGCGCATTATTCAGCTATAAAAAAGGATAAATACGAGGCTTTTATCAGTAAATGGATGCAACTAGAGACCATACTTTTTTTTTTTTTAATGATCCAAGAGACACTTTTTTTATTTTTGCAGAAATGGATTGAACTCAGGTCCTTGCACTTTCCAGGGAAGCGTTTATTATACTGAGCCATCTTCTAAGCTGGAGACCATACTTTTAAGTGAAACAAATCAAAACCGCATACGCAAGCATATTATCTCCTTAGTGTGATGTGGGAACCTGAAACAGAAAATAAAATCTGAAGAAGATACTGGGAAAAGGAAATGAACCTGTTCAAAAGGAAGGAATTACTGAGTTGAGAAGGTCAGGAGAGGGGTTGGGGGAAAGAGATATATCTATGTATATAAGCAAGATGGCTTGGAGAACTGTACTGTGCTTTTCTGCTGGTCTATGGAAAGGAGAAGTTCATTAATTTGTTTGTCTTTTTTCAAGTGTTTTTTCCTTTTTCTCTCTTCTTATTTTCTTATATTTTTCTTCCAAATTTGCAGGCATATATCTGGTAATATGAACAACTAATTTGAAGACAACACTATGCAATTAAACAAATACTGTGAAATTCGTATCATTTTGTTTAGTGAAATTCTGCATCATTTATAACTTTTCTGTCTTAATACTACTCTGTAGTCTTTTAAAAAAAATTTAAAAATTTTACATAGTCAACACATAATCCAAGAAAAATAAATAAAATTTAAAATGTGTTGAACAGACTTCTTTAGTGCAGATTGAAATTCTCAAAATTTACATTTGTAAATCTCCCCCAAATGATTAGGTCATGGACCCTCTTTTTCCCAAAAGAATCTCAGAGGGCTAGTATTGTGGGAAGCACCAGTACCACCCCAACACAGGGAAGGAGGAGAAAATGGCAGCACCGTGGTGAGCAGCACAGCGGAAAGCACCAGGCTTAAAGGACAGTTGTGCCTTCAGACCCCTGACATTTGCTAATAAGGTGTGTGTGGTGGGAGTGGGGGTGATAAAACCTATCAGGGTATAGTTACCCTATACAATGAGCATTAGGGTATAGATGAATTAAAAAACAATAATCTTACTGTTTCTGTGTGACCCTGGGCTAAAAACCTTACCCCACAGCAATACTTGCATACAAATAGCCTCTAAACTCACTTTCAGGCCAGGGAGATGGCTCAGTGGAATAAGCAGTTTCCTGGCAAGCGCAAGGACCTGAATTCAATCCCCGGTTCCGCCAAAGAAATAAAAAATAAATAAAACAAACTCACTTTCACAGGCCAGGGATGTAGCTCAGAGGAACTGTGCCCCACAGGGCCTGAGTCGGAGTCCCAGTTCAAATAAATAAATAACTTTCATTTTGCAGCTACAGTTGCTGAAGCACAGAGATCTGAAGTCTTGCTTATGCTCAGACACCTAATAACTGACAGATCAACGAGGGACAGGATTTGAAGGGAAATCACAGTCTGAAGCGAAGTAAAACAAAACAAACCTTCAGGAAGCAGCAAGGGCTGTGCTACCTTCACAGGAAGAACCAGCTAGTCTGTGGGCTAAGGCAGAAGCAAACAGTTCTATTGGGACTAGGAAGAAGCTGGAACCAGGCTCCGGGTAGACAGTGGGCCACAGAGAATAACAAAAGTACTTGGCAGCCAGGTAGAGCGCAGTTGAGAGGACTGTGAGCTCTGTAAGGTTTCAAGAAAATCCACCCAGGGAAGGGAATGTGGCTTTTCCTACTGGGCAACAGCAGCAGCCACAGTAGAGGAAACATACACGCAACACGCCAGCATTTCCTGGGTCTGGACAGCAGCCTAAGATGTTTGTGACACCCAATCCTCAAGCTTTTCCTCCCCGTCGTGGCTGTTTTACTCACCACAGTAGGTGTACGAAATACTTGCGTCCGAGGAGTTGCAGATCCAGTGGTGATCCTTAGGCTCAGTAAATATGGGAGAAAACAGAGTAGAAAAGAGCATAAGCGGTAGCATGCTTCAATGTCTCTAAAACTTTAAAAATGTAAGAAGGAGCAGTAAATAATCATAAGACACTTCCCTTTCAAGAAGTAGGAAAGATTTAACTTAGTCACTGCTCACGTGATTCCTGAATGCCCATTCAGTGTTTATTTCTTTTTTATATGTGACTCTGCGTGTTCTGTAGTTAAGCACTTCCTGGAAGGATGGAGGAATGATTTAGAGCAAAGTGTTCCTGAACACTTTGTGAAAGTGAAAGTAGCCAGAGATTTTAAAACAAAATACTTTCCAGTTAATGGTGAAAAAAAAAAAAAAAAAAGCAAGCCACTACTCTCCTGTTTTTTTAATTTCATTTTATTTTTTAAATATTTTATGTATTTGGTACAGGGTGTTGCTACGCAGCTCGGACTCCTAGTGATCTTCCAGTCTCAGCCTCCCCAGGGCTGGGATGACAATCATGCAGCAGTACTAGAGACCAGTCCCAGGTCCTTGAGCTTGCAGGCACTTAGGCAGCTGAGCTATATTCCCAGCCCTCTCCTGATTTTTTTTTTCTCCTGATTTTTTAAATGAAAAAATACAATCTCATAATCAAATAAGAGAATAGCAAGAGTTATTCTTTTTTTTTTCTTTCAGAACTGGGGATTGAACTCAGGACCTTGTACTTGCCAAGCAAGTGCTTATTCTACTGAGCTGTCTCCCCAGCCCCAAGTTATTACACTGTCATTAACTTCAAAGTACTTACCCAGAATACAAAACATAAACCAAAACGATTCACAGAAAAGAAACAAACGATAATTAATTTTTTTCTTTTCCATGAACTAAGATAAACTAGCAGCATAAATGAAACCTATTACCATAAATATTGAAATATTTTTAAAACGCCAGAGCTTGTAATTTGGGGAAGTATTTAAACTTTTCTATTTATCTCTCTTCCATTTTGTTCTTTATTTGTTTCTCAAATAAGAAAAGCCATGGTATATCTGAACTTGTGCGTCTGACTTATTTCACTTAACATTATGTTTGCAAGTTGCATCCGTTTACCCATGAATGCCTCTGGAGCATCTTTGTTGTGAATAATGACCTCGTTTTCCTTGTCCACTCATCTGCTGATAGGCATATGTGCCATTGCCAAGAATTATGTATTAAGAATTGCGCTGCTATAAACATGGGTGTGCAGGGTATCTCTGTAATATGATGAGTTTAACTCTTTGGGGCATACCTAGACGAGGCGTAGCTGGCTCAAATGGAATTTCTATTTTTAGTTTTTCAGGCTCTCCACACTGATTTCCATTGTGGTTATACTAGTTTCCATTCCCATTAACAGTATAATAGCGTTCCTCTTTCCTCACATTTTCACCAGGATTTGTTATTACTGGTCCTAGATTCTTATAACCATTTTTCCTAGAGTAAGATTGTATGTTGGTGTTTTAGTTTGGTTTTGTAATGACCAGCGATAAGCTTTTTTTTTTTTTTTCATCTTTGTATCTCTTCTTTTGAGAAATGTCTATTCATTTCAGTTGTCTATTTTTTTTTTTCCTATATTTTAGGGAAGGGCCTACAGGGAGTTCAGGGTCTCACTACTAGATTGGATTTATAGTGATTCTCCTGTTTACAGCCTCCCAAGTGCTGAGATTACAAATGCCTGCCACCAAGCCCAGTCTCAATTGCAATCTCAGCGCATCCGGGAGGCGGGGCTGGCCTGGCAGGCCTGGGGATGGAATCCCTGGCCCTGTGCCTGCTTGTAGGCACTTTAATCAGCTGAGCTATTTGGCCAGTCACCCCCCCCTTTTTTTTTTTTTTTTTTTTTTTCTTTCTTTCTTTCTTTCTTTCTTTCTTTCTTTCTTTCTTTCTTTCTTTCTTTCTTTCTAAGTTGTCTATTTTTTGATAGAGTCTTATTTTAAGGATCTTACTTTTTTGAGTCCTTTATATATTCTTGATATTTGTCCTCTCTCTGAGGAATAGCAGGAAAAAATTGTTTCCCCATTCTGTACACTGGGGCCGGGGAGATGGCTCAGTGGAATAAGCACTTCCCTGGCAAGCGCAAGGACCTGAGTTCAATCCCCGGTTCCACCCCAAAAAAAGAAGAAGAAAAACAAAAAAACAAACCATTCTGTACACTATCTCTTCACTGTTTTCTTTGTTGCGTAAAAGCTTTTTAATTTGATGTGATCCCATTTGTTGATTGTTGTTTAACAGTTTCGGAAGTATAGGTATTTTGATTACGTTAGTTCTGCCTGACCAGGAACAGGGGATATTTTTCCATTTTCTGATGCTACCGATGATTTTCTTTTTCAGTCTCATGTAATTTCCATTGTGCTATTTCACTTTCTTAGTCAGGTTTCCTAATTATCTAAGTTTGTTTGTTTTTTTTAAATGCCACTGTGAATGGTATTATTTTCCTAATTGTTTTTTCAGTGAGTTCATTGCTAGTGTATAAGAATGCTATTGGCTTTTTCGTGTGTGTTTTTGTCCTGTTACATTGCTGAATTTGGTCATCAGTTCTAGGAGTCTTTTGATACAGGATTTTTTTGGGGGGGATCTTGTAAGTAAAGGATCATATTACCTGCAAATTATGATTTTTTTATTCACCCTATTCTACACAGATCCTTTTTTTTTATTTCTATGTCTTTATTTTTTGTTATTATTTCTTATGCCACTGAGGTTCTGTTCAGAAAGTCCTTGATTACACTATGTCTTCAATAGTTATACTGATTTTATCTTCCAGTAGATTGTTTCTGTTTTAACATTTAGATATTTGGGGACTGGTGAGATGGCTCAGTGGTCTAAAGCACCTACTTAGAACAAGCTTAGCAAAGCACAGGGACCGCGGTTCAATCCCCCAGCACCACA